AGTGCGCAAGCAGCAAAGTAGTTAGAGGGGTTCGTCGCCCACTCCGTAGTGCTGGTGTCTTGGTTTTATCCTGCTCTTTAAACCTGGTGGGTGCTGCGTGGTTGAGGATTCACTGGCCTCTAGTGGCGAAGCTCTGCAGTGAGTGTGATGCTGCGTTTCACTCTGCAAACACTGGTTTCGGGGTGGGTGGTGAGAGGAAGTCAACACTGAATAACCCTTTGAGTAGGTTTTGAACACACATTTAACCTTAGGGACCCTGAAAAGTTTGAGTCCCTGTTAGGTCTTGCTTAGATCACAGGCGCCAGGAATATGCAGAGAACAGCCTGAGAACCACTGGTTCAGATCAGTGCCGGAGCACAAGATGATCTAAAGGTTACCAAAGAAACTAGAACTTCCACCTGAATGTCTAGAAAGAGATGGCTTGAAAGTTTGTATGGCTGATGGTACTGGTGGCCCTGTCACATCCATCCTTGTCTGTTCATGCCGCATTTTTCTTCTCCCATTTCAGTCACTAGAAGGGCGAGTTGGTCAAAAATGGGAATGTGATGAAAAGCAACAAGTTAGAGCCCTTATGCCAAGGCACTTCAGGCACCTTGGGCATGGCCCTTTTTAGAAATCATGGTCTGAGTCACTAGGTCTTCCCAGTGCAACTGTGCCGCGTTCCATGCGGCTGCCTCCCCGAATCCGGACGCTGGGCTGGCGTGCGGAACCGGGCACGTTACTACCGGCTGCAGCTCTCCTTTGCATTGAGTGGCAGAGACCCAAAAGCGAGGAGGGGGGTTACCGAAGCACTGGACTCACTGTGGGTGGCGGTTTGTTTTCGCAGATGTGAAGGGGCCTCCCACGCACCGCCTGTCCTGTGGCCAGTCGCCCTACGCGGAGACGACGACATGGGAGAGGAAGTACTGCGTGATCACCGAGAGCCAGTTTGTGCTGCTCAACGGGGAGAGGGAGGTGAGGCACCCGTGCTGCTACCGCCGCTGCTTCCCTTTCGCCTGCTTGCTGAAATGGGAAGGGAAACTTGTTTTGTGGGGTTTCCCTCCCTCTTTTTTTTTTTTTTCCCTCTGTGCTTATTGCGTTCACATGGAAGGGAGCCAGCCGACTCTGCGCATGGATGGTGGGGCTCATGCTCGCTTTTAATCTTGCTCGGACAGCAGGTGTCTAGACAAGATGAGGGCGAGCTTGGCAGTGGGATTTTATAGCTCTCACTTAAGCCTGTGCCGCTGCATCTTCCCCTGCCGCTGCCGCTTTAGTGCTAGTTAAAGCCCTTACATGAGCTTATGCTGCAAGCCGGCCTCCTCCTGCCAGCGCAGCCCGACACGTGGTAACGTGGGGGAATGGGGTTTGCGATGCCCAGCCTGGACCAGAGGAGCAGAGAGATTGGCGCAGCACGGTCACCCAAGGGCAGATCCTCATACCCAAAGGTAGATCCCCATACCCGAGGGCAGATCCTCATACCTGCAGCTAAATGGTCTGAGACACCGCTCTGCCCTCCCGCCTGCCAAACACAGCAAACAAAACTGGGGGCCCTTGGCATGGAGGACACGAACCCGTTGCAACCCTCGTTGCTTACCAGTTGTAATTACCACAATTAGTGCCCGCGTGGCTGCGTGGTGCGCAGTGCCCCCCGCGTGCCCTGGTATGAGCGCAGTGTCGCCGTGAGCGCACAACAGGCACGTTTGGGTGATGGAGCACTAGGAGCAAACAGAGGTGGGTGAGTCCCTTCCCCTGCCTGGTAGTTTTTCTTGGGTTAATATTGTGGATATTTGATGCCTGCTTGAGCTTTAAAAGCTGATAATGGTCCTGGGCTTGCCTGTTTAATTCTTTTGTTATAGATGTACCTAGTTTAAAAATAAACATTCTAGGAGGTACTGCAAAATGGGAATGTTCTCCAACTACTGAAATAGATTATTTTATATAAAAATATCTATGAATTTGAATCCAATGCTGTTGTTTCCTACATTTGGAAGAAACCTTTTTATTTTTCTCCTTAATTCTTTAGAATCTTCCACATATGGCTGTGCACAGGCAGAAAATGAGACCTGTAGCCAGTGTAGCACCAAATATTATCCTTATCCATCCCGAGCTACGGTCATGTGTATTTACAGGAACTGAAATATTCCCTTGCCTAGGGAGGGGCAGGAAAAGGTCTGGAGAAGGACATTACTCACTGGAAGGGAGCAACACCGGTCCTCTCTTACTGCAACACTTGAAACATTGCTGGCTGGGAGAGGTGATCAAAGGCAGGTTAAACGGAAGACCTGTCTTGTAGTGTTTACTACGTAATTCATTTTTTATTCTTGGAGGAAAGTCATGGAAGGAATTAAAGTATTTCCTGGAGAAAATTAAGGGCATGTGAGAGTTATTTCTCAAATTGTATTTAGCCCAGCTGTGCTGGTATAAAGGATGTATGTCATTAAAGAAGTGTAATTGGAAAAAACACCGGCTCATATCACAAATAATTACTTGCAGGTGGTAACCGTGCACTTACGGGTTGCTAATTGCACTTACCACATACAGCTAGAGCATCTTGCAGTGGGTGGGATGAGTCCCTTGCTTAGCTCCTAAGGAATAAACACGGAAAGTTCGATGTATCACTGGTGCATTAAGTCTTTTTATGTGATATTTAAGTACAGTCTGTTTTGCCTTTGTCAGAGGCTGGAGAAATTCAGCACCAGGGCGCACAGAGCACGAGGTGGGTAAGAAGAGCAGGTTCAAAAAACAGTTGAGCAGGAGAGCAAATCAGCTGAGCCCATGAGCACTGTGTAGGGTGAGAAATAACTTAGGAAAATGCTGCGTGTAGACGAGCCGAGCGCCACATGCAGACTGTGTGACTCCATGCGCTGCTGTCCCCATCGCTTCGGAAGCTCAGAGCCGGATTTGCCATGCTGGTTTTAAAGCAACTTGGAAGTACTGTGAGCGAGAGGAAAAGGGGAGCTCCGCACTCATTAGATCTCACAGCACAGTAAAAGCTTGTTTGAACCGACCCGCTGACTGTGGCTGGGTGTGCACGACCCCTTGCACAAGCACAGAGCAGGTGGACGGGGCAAACTGCTGGTGAGAGATGCGCAGGGCTGTGCGCTGGGCTTGCACGCTGCTGAAATGGAAGGATCCCTGAGAGATTTAGCAGGAAATGGAAGGGTAGGTGCCTTGGCCACCTTTATTTGGCAACTCACTCAGAGTTGGAGAGGCTCGAGGAAAGGTGGTCTAGAAGCTAGAGTGAGCAAAGGCCTAGGGCAGTGCTTGGAAGGGCAGATGCTGGAGGAGAATGGGCAGAAGACTGTGGTGAGAGCAGAGGCACACGGAGCCACGGAGCAGCGAGAGCGAGTGGCACGAGGACATGAGAGAGTAAAAGAATTTACTGAAAGAACGAAGTAGGAAAGTGTGTTTGGAGGAGACTCATGAGCAAGGAAGAAGATTCTTGTCAGCCTGAAGCATCACTGGTGAAACAGGCACCAGGAAGCTGAAGATGGAGAGGCTCTAGCTCCGCAGGTGGGAACTGCTGAGACACTGAGTGGGTTGGAGCGTCTTTGGGACTGTTGGAGATGATCTTAGCATCTTGAGGAAGGACCAAAGGAGAAATCTTACTAAGGGCTTGGATATGAGGGGAGAAGGAAGAGATGTTAACAGGGGAGTGCCCTTTCTGCCAAAAGGGAGCTCTTGCATAATGGGAAGGCGGGTGCAATTGGAAAACTGCTAGTCTGAGGCATCTCATTTTGTTTTTTTCTGCATCTACTTCACTACTTCCCAGAATAAATACCCAAGAAGTTTAGCTGGTGTGAAGTTGAAAGGGAGCAGAAACGTTTGATGTTGTATAATGCTTATACAAAGTATTACGAAGCATGTATGTCAAAGCCAAAAGGCAGGAAAACATGTACAAAATGCAAACAGGGAATGAAAGATGTCTTCGTGGTAGCAGCTTAAATACTACATTTGGTTTCTTTCAATTCTTTCAATTCAATTCTTAAAATATTGCATGGTGAACTGTGCAGATATTGAGATTGAACTGCACAGAAATAGGAGGAAAACTCTTTTCTTGTAGTATCCAACCAGTACAGATTTAGTGAAAAGGTAGAGAGACCTGGTGCTGTGCAGACACGCTAGCAGCTAGGAAACTGGAGAAATTTCAAGGTACAACTTGATCCAAAAATACCTGTAATTACTTAGACCAAAACAGTATGGCAGTATCACCTTGTGCTGTGTGTACATTAATGTTAATCACTTGATACCTTGTCAACTTTGTAAAAGGAAAATGGGTGAGATTGGAGAATGAAGACTATTAATGAAGAGCAGAGAGAGAGGCCCCAAATGCAGTGGCAGGAGCCCCCGCAGGGACATGAGCGATGGCCGGGCAGGCCAGGAGCTGAGAGCGGCAGGAGATGTGCAATTACTGGGCGATATCACGCACTGGTAATAGCTTGCAGCGACTTTCAAGACGAGGAGAACAGGTCTAGGCTGATTCACTTACAAAACAGTTTTTTTCCTATGAGGAAGACGCGGTCCGTATCGATTTTCCCACTGTTGGGAAGGAGCAGCTGTTTTCAGTGCTTGTGCAAGTCGATCCGCAGGAGAAGATCTATGAAGGCACGTTTTTGAATGAGAGCATGATAAAAGGTGTCAGAAAAAGTGATGCCCTTTGAGGGGGGACATGGGAAGGGCTAGTGCTCCTGATAAGTGGTTTTGGATGCACAGTCCATTGCCCAGCGTTTTCGGGAGGGATGTGACAAGTGGCTGCATCTGTTGCTGGCCTGGTCTTTGTGAGTCAGTGCCCCAACTGCAGGAGAACAGCCACATAATGGCTGTTTTAATCTTGTTTTGGTTGGAGATAAAGTAGATGGAGATGTTTTTAGTGTATTAGACTCCTTTTTCTACCTAATAGTGGAAGCTTCATCTTTCTTTTGAGTCCAAGAGGTTTTTTCCTTGAGTGAAGGAGAGTCAAGGTCTGCGTTCAGAGGGACAGGAGCGCCTGCTCGCCAGTGCTGGGCACAGAGGCCAGCAACAGGGCATTTCGGGGGGATATTCCTGTGTTTCTTCCAGCTCCAGAGACTGACACCAGTAGTGCATTGACAACAGCAATTCCCAGAAAAAACAACAACAAACATGGGTACATGGGAATTTTACCATTCCTTGCCTGTTTCACGTGATTCCAGACTTTCGGATTATTTGCTCACAGGAAGATGCAAGTTGTCACCTTTTTCTCTGCCATCCAATTTTTGGACCCCCTTGATGCAGCCCGAGCCGATTATATGCGTGCTTAAAACCCGCCTCCGACGCTGGGAGGCGCAGAGCTGCTTAGCCTGTTTTGGAAGGCCTGTTTTGGAAGGCCTGTTTTGGAAGGCGTGTTTTTGGGAACGCGCTAAGCTTGCGCTAAGCAATGCCGTCCTGCTGCCTCGAAATTTGTTCTCTGGCCAGCCAGGCTGTAACGAGGGTCTCGGAGGAGGAGTGTTAAGTAACACCGCAGTGCTGCAGGTTGGGCTCTAGGGGGTTCTCTTCAGCTACTTTGTTGTATCGTGCCGGGAGGTTGTTTCTTGGTTCTCAGCCAGAGGTGGAGTGAAACCCTGCGGCAATGTACAGAAATCGGGCGTCTGGTGCAGAGTCGCAGCAAAGCCAGGGTCTCCCCTCGCTAGCATGAGCTCACGCGGGGTGCAGGTAGCAGGTAGCTGGGCTGGGACACGCAGGTGCCAAAGGCAGAGCGACTCTGAGCCGGGCCCGCGGCTCCTGCCCGGTCTGCCTGGTGACGGTGCAGCTCCTCCTTGAGGGCAGAGCCTGCCCACAGTGCGCACAAGCAGGGCCCTTGGCTTTCCCCAGGGACGCCGAGGGCGGTGCAGCCATCGGCCCCTCTGCTCCGAGGGACCTGCTGCCGCCCTGGCAGGGGAGTGCCAAAAACGAAAATAAAACATCACATCATAGATCCGAATTCGGAGTTCATTAGGATCCTGAGGAGCCCTACTTTAAAGGAAAGAGTCTGGATTTAATAGATTTAATAGCAGAAAAGAATTGGCCTAGCTGAAGCCTCCAGGTGAAATGGGGAGTGTGGTCCTGGGTGACCGGCTGCAGCATGAACAGAATCAGCCCCTGCTTCGCCTCCTTCTGAGTGTCCCCTGGAGGTGGATCAGCAAAGGGGCCAACGTGAAAACCACCCACAAAGAGAGCAGCCTCGGCAGAATAACCATGAGGCTGGGAAACTTGCTTTGAAAGACGCTTGAAGGAGACAAATAGACGGACGCAGGCATAAAGAGCACTGAAAATGACCTTAAGAGAACGATAAGTGCTCAAAAGTCAGGAAATGCCAGAGCTAGTTTGAGAGCCATTATAGCACAGCCGGTTTCTAAAATAGTACCCTATCTTCTGTCTTTTTGGTACAAATGAATAATATCTTTTTGTTTGCTATTAACACCGTGTTTTCAGTGATGCTTGAAGATGCGGAAGGATAAGCAGCACAGGAGACGTGACAGGAGCTTTCAATCCCTTAGCTGCAAGCTGGTTTTTATATAGCTAAACAAAAAGAAAAAGTGAAGTTCCATGTGGTCAAAGTGTGGAAGGCAGCAGCCTTGCTGAAACTGCCCCAGGACGCTGCGTGCCCCGAGTACTGCCTGCTTGGAGTCTGGTGGGCAGCTCCCAGCAGGAGCGTGCCTTCAGCGGGGCCTGGCTTTCAAAGGCAGAGAGGGGGAGCAAAGGCAGATTTCCCAAAGGCAAACATGGGCCTGATGCACTCGGTACCATCAAAGAAAAAGGAAGGAGCTTCCTGCTTCTCAGGAGTTTGCTGGTGAGGCTGGACAAGCCAAGCTGGGCCCAGAGCTGCGACTAGCCGGGCTGATGGCAGTGCAGGCGGCGCTGCTGGGCGGTGCGCGACGCCTCACGTGTCTCCTCCTCTCTCCGCAGGTGCCCATGGACATGCCCGAGGCGCAGGCCGAGGCTGCCCAGGGGCGCTGCCTGCGCCGCCCCGTGCGGTTCCCCGCGGCCGTCGCGTTTCTTTACGGGCCTTGGATTTGCAGGCACCGCCGTCCCAGTGCTCACAGCGAGTGGCGGCTGCGCGGCCCGGCCCGGCCTCGCAGCACGGGGGCTGTGGGACAGCGGCCTTGGCCAGGTGTTTCCGAGGCTCCTGGAGAGCAGGAAAGTGTGCAAGCACATCTGAGGCCATGGGCACCGCTCAGCAGACCTGCCCCGTCTGCCCATGGTTGAAGTGGTTCTGCGGTGCCGCTGCCTGCACCTCGCAGGGAGTCTCTCTGCAAGCGCCTTTGCCTCCTGGATCAGAACCAACACTCAGTAACGGATCTTGACTTTCTGCAAATCGCCTTACACCCCTTCAGGGTGCAAATCCTAGAAGAACCAGCAAGATCCCTGCTGCTGTTGGTTTGATGGTGAAGTCTAGCAAGAGGAAGAGAAGTCATTAAAAATGGCACGCTCTGATGTGGAGGCTTGCTAAGTCTGGGTTTGGCTGATTCCTTGGGATTTATCCAACTTATTCTGAGTTAATTGCATGTAAGTCATTATGAGATGAAAGTACTGCGCAACTGAACCTAGAAGACCCCGCTCTAGTAGACAGTTAATTAACAGATTGTGACCGTAATGCTCATTTACTTACTCGCCAGCAGCAATACCTCTGTCTTCCTCGGCTGAGGGAGGCAGGATAGTTTGGAAGGAGGGAATTTTTGCTCGTTTGTTTTTTGTTTTCTGCATTAGAGGACAACTCTAATCTGTTTTAGTAGAGAAAACAGATAAACAGAGAAAACACCAAAATGCTTGGGGATGGACAGTGTAAACCGCTATTGACCTTGCTTGCCACGTGTCAGATGCAGCCTAAGCCATCATCTTGTTGTGTCATTTGAACAAATATTCGTTCTTGTTTGGAAATACACCCAAATTAAGAACATGCTTTACACCATGTTATGGGCGAGCACCTATTTCAGGCACATCACGAATGAGGTGGACAAATTGTTATGTAACAGCCTGTCTGTGTTGGCAGGGGTATTATTTGCAACTTTGCAAGCTAGAAAATGTTTCATAATCGTGGAGATTTAAGTGTCTTTTCTATCATTTTTGTTCTTTTTCTGTAGCACATATATCCTTCATTTGTGCTTCCCTAAGCATCTGAATAGCTAGAAGTGCCCCGTTAAGATGTAACCTCGTGGCCTTCCCCATTTGTCGTGAACTGTAGCGCAGGCTGAGGTGCTGCTTGGGCCTGTGCATGGCTGTGTGTTCTGCAGTGGCTTCCACCTTGCAGTCTGCTGCGTGGTGACCAGAGCCTGTTAAAAACACACAAGAAGCACGTATCCACGTGGTCTTCTCCATCTGAGATCTCCACCTATGGTGAATATAGCTATGAACAAGGGCTGTAGCTGAAGGAAGGGGGTGAACAGTGGAAGGGAGAATAATGAAGCAATGCCTGTACTGCGAGGAAGGATGCGAGGAGGTGGGAAGCGAGGCTGGGCATCCTCCTCGGCC